GCACACAGTTCACGAGTCGGATATTCAAGAACTGCCTAAAGGAATGGGGAGTCGACGTCCAGCATACAGCACCGTACTGCCCCCAGGAGAACCCAACAGAAAGGGCAAATCGGACAATCAAAACGATGATATCGCAGTTCATCAACGGCGATCAGAACACCTGGGACGAGTTGCTGCCGGAGATTACTCTGGCCATCAACTCCAGCGTCTCAGACTCTACTGGTTTCAGTCCAGCCTTCGTAGTACAAGGGCGAGAGCCAAGACTCCCAGGCGCACTATACGACGAGGTGACGCCAGCCACTGGAAGCGAATCTCAAACGCCTGCCGAGAAAGCAGCCCGTTTGAGGGAGATATTCGCCATAGCACAGTCCAACATGCAACGAGCCACGCAAGATCAACAACGCCACTATAATTTACGCCGCAGAGAATGGAGACCGAAACTAGGATCCCTTGTCTTACTTCGACAGCATCACCTTTCGAAAGCTGCCGAAGGATTTGCTGCAAAACTAGCACCGAAATACGACGGACCATTCAAGGTGGTCAAGTTCGTATCCACATACGTCGTACGCATCCAACGTGTGGGAAGCCGGAGGAGACAAATTGCCAACGTGGCCGACCTAAAAGAGTACCACACTGATGCAGCGAACAACGACGACGACGACACAGACATCCTCGAGGCTACCCACAACCCTCAGGATTAACCAAGAGAGCACTCGCCAAGCCCAAGTAGTGACCCACTTCCTGAGTATTAGCCAGAAGACATGGCGCACTTACTTGGACGAGTAAATTAGATAATAAGGGGTATTAGCCAGAGACCCCACACTCACACTAGTTTACCTTACGCGCAAGCCACACCTCTAAAGCGGAATAAAAACCTGCAAAAACAAAGTTAATAACAAGAAATTTTATCTTCCACAGCAAGAACAACTTTCGTTAAGCCAAGATGGAGAGAAATACTGGAAGCAGTGCGTGGCAATCGTCGCCGGAGCAGGATTGGGAGGACGACAAGTCTACGTCCCCATACCTTCCCCAATACCAGGACGGCCAGTCACCAGATGACCCGTCCCCAGCCAGCAGCGCTCCCGACAACGAGTGGCTGTCCTCATCGGAGCCAGAGAACGACGACGGCCAGTCACCAGATGACCCGTACCCAGCCAGCAGCGCTCACAACAACGAGTGGCTATCCTCATCGGAGCCAGAGAACGACGACGGCCAGTCCGACGAACGATTCAGGACAACACTGCAGCGGGATGAGTGGGACTGGCAAGAGTCACCACCACCTCCCAGCTCGGAGAGCGACACCCCACCGGAACGGCACTATCCCGACAATGTGCGCGAGGTGTACGACGAGGACGCACCACCTCACCGCGGCTTTCGAGGCCCCACATATCCGCCCCGGTTCCAGGGCCATCAAGACGGCGGCTCCTACTCCAGGTCACCAAAGCCGGAACCCCGACGCGACCCAAGGAGCGGACGAGGGGTATACAAGCCCGCCGAGCCGCAGACTGAGCTGGAGCATTACACAGCCAGTCCGGCCAGCGAGTCCAGCAGCGACGACGAGCAAGTCTATTACCGGGAAGTGGTAGCATCTGCCGAAAACTACCAGCACATCACCACTCCCTATGGTGCCCGAGTGACCCGCAACACCACTACTACTGTGGATATCTTCTTACCCCCGGGAGAGACGATGAGCTCAATGTTCAACGTACCGAGAGAGTCACGGCAAGCACTCAGGGGTCGTGAGGAGGCTCGATGCATGCGCGTCGAGCTGGAAGCGACCACCGATGACCGGACCAGCAACCGACAACCAGAAGCGGCAAACTACACGCGGAACAACCGCAACGACAGTTCCCAGCGTCAACCAAGGCGGAACACCTCACCCGAGACTGTCCAACGGCCTACCTGGGAGCCGGCAACATCGGACGAAGAGGACAACCGTCCCCTCTTTCGTCGGCGGTACTCACGAGCCCCGACCAACGCGACCACCAGCGAAGCAGCACCAGCAGAGTGGGTTGTGGCACCGACGGGATGGAAGGTCGACACGAAAGACCGGAAAATACCCCAGGCCCTTGTCGAGGACGTCATGTCAGGGATGCACAAGCGCACCCGGGCCCGTTACTCCAAAGAACTGGACGGGCAACGATTCCAAGTGGAGCGGACGAAGACTCGGAGGGTTTTGATCCATTTGACCCCCCGAAGAAAGGAGAGGATGTAACGCAGTAAAATTCTGCGTCACAAATTGTATTAGCTCTAAGATTTTTCTATTTGTATTATTTCTTGCACGGTTTTGAAGAGTGCCAATTTTTGTTACTAGTCTTAAGGTTCCACTACTGTTATTAGATCTAAGGTTTCACATTGAAGTTTCTATGCTACTAGATGTAAGTTTCAATTATATTTCACCGCACTACATACAGAAAGGGTTACGCAGCAAAGATCTTTTGAATAGGGGAAGAATAAACGAGCTGGCATCACCGCCCACGCGTGTATAGGGATTTTAGAAAAAGAGAATTAGGTCACACGAACGAAGGCGAGAAGGGCAAACGAAAACGGAAGCTCGCTCTCTTCTTCGGCGACCATCAAGACGACCAGACGTGTGTTAGCAGCGAGACATAGGATCAAATCCACGTAAGTTTTGGAAATCAGCCAATAAACGTGGTGCAATGTAGGGCCAATGGCAGCGAAATCCCGAATAAAAGGCAATCTTAAGAATATTTAAGAAATCCGCCCACGCTATGAGCGCAACTTACATATATACCAGGCTCGAGTCCGAATATATGTAAGTTGTGACTGAAAAAGCGAACAAGTGTTGATTGTTATATTGTTGCGTATGAGCCGGCAATATAACGTCAAAACGAGCCCTAGTCCGCCCCGCATTCTCCAGCACCAGCGGCTACAGTGGGCCTATTTCATGTATAGCGTGTATGAACCGCGATATATGAAATAGTCCACTCGACCAACGGAGTTTTGGAGGTTAGTTTGCAGCGCATGAGCATGCAGACATAACGCCAAAACTACCGGCCGCAAGGCGACTGACACCCTACAGTGTGCATCGAGTCCCTCTTGTCGCATGGTCCCGTCACATTTATAAATTTTCTTGTAATGAACCCTGGACAGCTGAGTTATACCCCAGCTGGAAATAAAACTTCTTTACAAAAGAAACAACTCTTTCAATAAAATACAACAAATCGTGCCAATGCTGCATTTTACATAAAATCAAGTCGCTTCGTGTGTCTATTTGTTGTTGTTGTTGTCTACTTGTATTTAACATTGACATTGCTCATACGCAGCGTTGCAGGGCAAAGCTTTTGGTTTTTGTTTGTTTTTCTTCATTTTGCTTTTACTTTCCAACAGTGCTGTCATGTGGGTACAAAAAGCTGCATAAATCCCGATAAATATCAAAGTATATAAAAAAGCTATACTCGCAATTATAATTCTGAAGAACTCATTTTAGAAGTACCTGTATTCAAAGAAGTGATTCAATCATTTATTTGCATTCTCAGTAAATCTAAAAACATCCATCACAATATTAACAAATGTTCGATCTGATATGAAGCTACTCGGCAATTTATGCTTTGATTGAAAGCTATGCTATGTGTCTGTTCCGCTTGCCGGGGCCTGAGAAAATATGTGAGGAAAGATAGAGGTTCGTGAGAAAATTAATTGCGAGCTACATAAGGCAAACAGTCTGTACAGATGTTTATTGTAAATTGAAAACACACTCGAAAGGCAAAACAATTGACAATATCTACAATAAATTTGTGGAGAAACGAAATACCTTTACCATATTCTGTCTTTGGGAAAATAATTACTTAATATTCGGGAAATAAATCATACCTCGAACACTCAAGACTTATCTGACCCCACGGGGATTTTGGCAGGGTAATTGCAGTTGTATTAGCACAATTGGGTATTGTTATTTATTAAGTAAACAGCACCTATTTAATTTTGGACTTTGATCCAGAAATGAGTTGTAGTCTGAATTTGGACTTTTTAAAAAAAAAACAACAAATGGTTTTTTCGGCAAAATCAATTTATTTTATTCAACATAGTCTCCTTCTGCTTCAATACAGCTTTTTGCACGATCCAAAAGCATATCGAACGAGTATTCTAGCTCGTTGGTATGGCCGCCAGTGCAAGCCTTTTGAATGGCCTCTACGTCTGCATAACGCTTTCCTTTCATGGCCAAATGCATTTTTCCGAAAAGGTAGAAGTCGCACGGTGCCATATCAGGTGCCAGATCATTTCCATCAATTTCAATGATGATTTCGGCTGCTTTTTGATGAATTCACGCACAGTTTCGATGGAATTTTCGGTGATCACGAATTTTGATTGGCCCACATGTTGATCGTCATTTATGTCCTCACGAACACATTGAAAACGTTGAAACCACTCGTGCACTCTGCTACGGGATAGACAATCATCGCCATAAACTTGTTTCATCAATTGAAACGTTTCGGTAAAAGTTTTACCAATTTTAAAACAAAATTTAATGTTGGCTCTTTGTTCGAAGCCCATTTTCGCAACGATAACACAAACATACTGACACTTAAAATGCAATAACTTCACTTCCAATCGATGAAATGTCATGAAATTCTCACTGGACAATCGATAAAGATAGCAGATTCTAACGCACTAGTCGTCATATAGATAGCGCTGTTTACTTTGGAACACACCTTGTATACACTCTTATGCTATGCGCTCGATGTATATTTGAAATTTAAGATATATTAATATTATAGCTGATTTATTATTATTATTATTAAGATACTACAAATAAAGTAATTCCTATATTGGTATCTTATAATATCTTGAAAATGCAGAACTAGCTAAATCTATTTGTTGGCGGCTTTTAGCGATGCCTTCCAGCCTGGAAGTCGACGAAGAGAGTGCAGCTTTTCCTGAGGAGCTTTCGCACACACACAAAAAAGAAGCCGTGCAGTGTACGGAGCGCCAGTTTAGTTTGAGCAGCGGTTGCGGCAACTTCGTTCGATTTATTTATTTCTGTGCGTTGATAGCGGAAACGGAAGTGCAGCAGCACCGTTGGCAGGAGCAGTAGCATCAGCAGTACAGTCAGGCAACATAAATGAAACTTCGTGCTCGGTTCTGGTGTGATAATTGCTTGTGTGTCCTTATTGTGTTCCATCCTGTTTTTGTGCGGTGCTGTGGCGTCGTTTAAACTGTTGCGCGTTGGTAGTTTTGGTTGAGATTGCAATTGTTGTTAGTTTTCAAAAAAAAAAAAAACCGTGCTAATTGCTTGTGTGGTGTGCAATTAAAACAATTACGAAAAAGTTAATTTAACAAATTGGCACCTGCGGCAGCAGCAGCAACAACAGCACCAATAGTTACAGAAACAGAAGAGAGGAAATCCGCCAAATAGCTGAAAATGGTAAACATTAAATATTTAAGCGCTCATTTAGCAGCGTGTGTGTGAGAGCATGCATGTGTGTGTGTGTATATATATATATATATATATATATATATATATATATATAATTGTATGTAGGTGGCAGCTAAGCTGCGATTTGACATGTTGATTTATGTGTCTCTGTATAAATATAAGTGCGAGTGTTCGTTTGTGTGTTCACGTGCGTTTGTGTATGGCGCGAGGATTACATGCGGCGCACTTGTTGCGCATGGCTGGCCCTGCCACGGAAACGGACACGGACACTGACACTAGTGTAATTGCTAATCCCCTCACCCATTACCGCTCCCACACACACACACACACACACACTCAAACAGACGCGAATATGAACGCCACTAATTACAAGTAAGCTGGCTTTCCATCGCTAGTTAAATGACGCAGGTTGGCGGATTTGAAAAAAAGGGGAAGGATCGGCCATTCAGGACTGTTGAAAGGGGTCGCTTAATATGCCATTAACATGAGATTTACACAGATGTGTGAAAAATTATGTGTTGCTATAAAATCAATAGACATGCATCAGTTGGCGGGACAGAGTGGGAAGTAAGGCCGAGCATCGCGGCTACTGAAACTATTAAGTGCGACTAATAAGTAACGTGCGACGTGACTTGGCAAGATTTCTAATTTGCGCCACTTAATCAATGGCCGACTGGCTTTATCGCTATGTTGCGCGAATAGTTAGACTACACTTTTTTCCATCTCAATGCCACCCCGCTAGTGCTCAAGTGTGCATGTGTGTGGCATAAGTATTGTTTGATCTTAAGTGTTTTATGGACTTTTCGTGTTTATGTTATGCAAACACACACACTATATATAAACATACATTTTTCTAACAAACGCTAATTTGGCAGACAACTTGGCTTGGTCGTAAAAAGGCCATGGTATGCCTTAGTGTGTGTGGCACAATATTTATATTTATGTCGGTGGGCGCTAAATATGTGTGCTTAAGGGGAGTGGGCTTGCAATTAGAAAACTTTACAAAGAGGGTTAGTGCTGGGCACTGCTCTAAATGTTCGAAACTAAGATTAAAAGGGTAAAGAGCGAAAGCTCTACTAAGTGTGCAAAGTGTTGGACTGAATTATGGCCGCCGCAAGTTAATGTCGGCTCCGAAATAATAGTTGAAGTTCAGGTTCATTTAAAAAGTTGCTCGAGTGCTAACTATGGGCAGACTAACTATAAAGTAAAAAGGGTGGCATATTAGGGTTAAGAGTTCCGATATTTTTTGTAGGATTATATGAAGCCGTCTTGTCATCTCTATATCTTCTGAAGTATGGGCAAATGAAATTGTATCAACAAGTTGAACTTATATTTTTGTTGTGTTAGTATGATTTATAAAAATTAATTTCTTCTGTCATGTCACTTTTCTATATTTTGTCGTTAGCCTTATTCATTTATTTAACAATATAAAGAATTTGTCTCACAACACATACAGTATTCTTATTTTCGATCCACAGTCTTCTTTAGCTATGCAACAAGATAAACAAAGGCTTACATTTTAAATTAAAGTTTGGGTTGTTTCCATTATGCTTTTACTTTGCTTTATTTCCAACAATTTTCATTTTATAAGCAAATCTGAGGCCAATATTTTACCTGTTTCATCAATTTTTAAATTCAATGCAAATCTTTTACAAATAACAAACACGCACACACACTTCAATCGCTGCCGCAACAGACGAATGCCCACCACAAATCCTTGTTAAATCAAATCACTTTAGACCGCCCCGAAAGCCAATTCGTCACCACAACCTGGACAGATGGCTGGCTGCCTGGCATTCATTACGCATTCTGTTGCTGTTTACCTCAAATCGCAAACGTATTACCCACATCCATGCATAACAAATCAACCAAATGCCAATGAAATGAAAGGTTTATAGTTGTGCATTGGAATTCTATAACTTATTTACCCTGTCCGATATTTTCATTCGATATGTCAATCAGAAGCGCAGTGAAGTGCTTAGAACACAGCCAAGGGAATAATGATCTGACCACATGGTTACCAGTTCGTTTGATTGACTAACTAAAGCATTTTACGTTATTTATGTGACAAAAAGTGTCGCCATAATTGTCCTTTATAATCGGGTGATGGACAAAAGAATTGAATTGTATCGAATGAAAGAACCAGTTGAATTCATTCTGCCTCTGCTTATGGCTTTTTGAAAATTCTTGCAAATTCTATGCACACACAATGGCTTACCCGTAAACCTAAGTACGGCTCTCGGTCATGCATAGACAATTTAAATAATACCAATACAAATGCCATACTGAAGACCAGTTGAATGTTGTGACGAGCGACGATAACAACAAAGGAGGAGAAAGAGGAACGCACGGAAAAACGAGACTTGGCAGAGTTCTCGTTTCATATTGATTTATTGTGACATTGTTGTTATTGCTTCTGCTTCTGCTTCAGCTTCAGCTTTCGTTTTTGTCCCTACTTCTGGCTGTGCCGTTAGCAGATTTTCGCACGCCCCCAAAACGCTCCCCAACGCTCGAAACTATATGACTGTGGGTGCTGCATACGAGGTTGGAAACAAAAGTACAGCGAATGCTGCTTCATTGCACACTTAGAACGTTAATGAGCATGATATACTATGATTTATGTTAAGGTTTTATTCCCAAAATACAAAAATCAAGTAGAATAGTAATAGAATTTCGAAATTTGTCAACTTCAAAAAAAAAAAATTGTCGTTTGTTATTCTAGAATATTTTGTATTAAAATCGGTTTATTTCTGCAGTATATTTAGAATTTAAGTAGTAAGTAAGTAGCAGTAATTATTTATTATTATTTTTTTTATTACCAATTTACCGTATGTACAAGAAACAAAAAAACAATTGTGCCAGTTTTGTTAACGTTATCCTCGTTTTTGTAAGGTATTGGTATTAAGGCTTAGAAACTCAACCATTCAGAAATCTCTTTCATATAGATGTATACCAAACTAGTGTCCAGCAGGGATATAATACAAATTTATATACAATGAAGGACCACTACATTTTCATGCTTTAGGTTGTGTCTACAAATACATAAATCTTCGAATAACCCTCGCGTATTGGCACGAAGGTTAACAAGTTTCCTCTGCAACATTCTATTATTTTGTAGATTATTTTTTAAAGCTTACCAATCATTCGCATTGAGTCTATGCCTGTTTGAGTGTCTGTCTATATGACTGTATGCCAGTCTCTCTGTCCGTTTATTTGCCCTCAGTCTGTCTGTATGATTGGTTGTGGTGGTAACACGGACATTCACGTTCAGGTTACGTGCTCCTCGTGGCCACACACAAAAACCAACAGGTATTCATTCTTTGCATTCCCTTTATTTGCTTTACACAATATGGACACGTAGCCGGGCCCAGAAAGCAATCGCAACGGCTGGCGTGGGCGTGGGCGTCCGTTTCTATGGTGGATAGATAATGGCGCACACACGCACAACCACAATCTACTATACATGCATACATGCGAAAACGAAAACGAAAACGCACACACGTGTCCGACCCACGTGTGTGTTGAAAGTTAGACCTAATGCCAACCAGTTGAGTGCTTCATTTTGAGTAGCATAGCCGGCGGCTCTGGCAGGGCACAGTCAAGAGTTTCAATTTCTGTAGCATAGCCCGCGGCGCGGACTGACAAACACCCACACACACACACATACATTTGTGTATACACTTGAGTTTGTAGCGCTGGAAGTGAAATAAAAACCGGACATAAATGCACGACAAGCATTCTGCAATACAAAATTTGTATTAAAAAAACGGCAGAGCGGTGCAGAGGTGGTGGGACAGCGACTGAAGAGAACGAAAGGGAGAGCAGAGAGCAAATAAAAGAGATCGTAAAATTTTTCGCAAAACTGCCAGAGATTTCATGGTGTTGCTTTTTATAGTGAGTTGAACAACAACAAACAATGCTCGCCTGAATGTGACACTGTGTGGCACCCACGCCCGACATAATAAAAATAATGTAGTGGATGCTTCATGCACGTATATGGCAAAGTTTTTAAATTTACATACTATGTCCGAGCTCCAGCTTTCGAGTGTTTACTTGACGTTGTAAGATAAATGCAGTTATGGGTTAAGCTACGGCCCGAAATATTTATATGCACCTAAACATAAGGATACTAACCTTATAAATAAGTATCTAATAAACCAAAAGTGTAAACTGCTCATCAATATCAAATATGGAAATTGAAAATTTATCTTATTGTGCTTCATTTTTGACAGACTAGCAGAATGCGCATCAGTATTTGAAATCGAGGTGCTTCGATCTGCCGAGGCTGGGGAGACTGTCGAAATTCTGAACGAGAGAAACCACAGCATAAATGTGTCAAACCTAAGTATAAATATATTCACCTTACTGGGCTTCCACTTAGGTGGGCATAAAAGGAAGGTAGCTAAAATTCCCTCCCCGAGCCTTTAATTTTTCGAATACTTTGAGAATATAATAAGTTTGTCTTGACAGCAGAGTGCATCTCTAATTAGACCATATCATTAGATTTTAGCCAACAGCATAACTAGTAGCAGATAATAACAGAAAACAATTCAGCTGTGCCAAGATATTTTACGATAACAACAAATCTGACAGACAAGTTGAATTTGATTTGAAATGAATAATGTTTGCCAATTCGACGAAAACTAGTATGGGTGTTCACACATGCGTATGAATGTGTAATCGATCCTTTATTTCCAAAACAAATCAACTCCTAATGACTATTGAGAAAGATTTGCGCAAGAGTGCTACGATGGGCTCTAAAAGCAATTGGCGTTTAATATTTATTGCTTGCACCACTCAGGTGCCGAAGTCAATTGTCATCAGTCTTAACCAGATTAAAGCTCTTTCTATTTACTCGTAAGCTTGTGCTTACGGGACACTACAGCGTTCTCGTCTAAGCTGATTTATCCACTACAGAATGGGATTACCAGAAACTAAAAGTTATGCAGAATAGTTCTCTACTCGGCTATCGAGTAAAGAGTCTAGTAAAGTCATCCCGAAAGAGCCACAACATTAACATTTTGTACGGAATGAAGAAGACAGCATATTTCACATAAGTGTGTGTTTATATGTATATGTATGTGTGTGTGTGTGTGTGTGTGTGAATATCCAAGAGTCGTAGCTGACAAGCGCACCCAACGGGATGGCGAATTTTCTACTTATGCGAAACTTGCCCCATGAGTTCCTGCATATGTGAGTGTGAGTGAAATGCATGAGTATGTGTGTGTGTTCGTGCGTGTAACAAAGTGCTTACAGCAAAACAGAACGTTGACAGCCAGGGAGAATCCATTGGCGGTGTTTTTGACTGTAGGGGCTAAATGGGGAACCGGGGCAGCCACTTATGGCAAGCGGCTTAAAGCCAGCTAGGCACACGCCGACAAGGCAAACAACACACATGCACACGTACTAGACAGACATTTAATAATAATTTCCTGCGCAAATAACGTAAACACGCACACACGTATACACGCACATACGAGCACAATGGCAACAACAGCAACAACAACATATTTGCCCACGGCATTCGATGTCTGCTTTGAAAAACTTGCCCAATAGCAAGGATGTTGGCCATAGAGTTGTACTATATGTTACGGGTAGAATCTGTGTGTGTACTGCATAGACAGCCAGACAGATCCATTGATTGACTGACTGGCAGAGTTTCCAGCACAACAAACTCAGTGACTTACTAACCAAGCAAGCCACAATGGTTAAATGACTGACTGTATATACTAGATTTAATGGGGGAAGAGTTCAATTCAATTCAGAGAAAAAGTTAAAAGCTAAAAAGTTACTTTCATCTGTGCCGAAGCTATACAACCCTTTACTTATTCTGCATTTTAACTCTTCAAGTGTTTAACAGACTTAATCCTCTATTCATTTATAAATGAATTATTCCTTACAGCCTGTAAACGTTTGATGTTAATTATCCATTATTCATAGTTTTGATTATCAAATGAATATGCCGATCCTTACATCTTACAAGTATATGTACTTAGTGGGAATTTGTATTTTAATTGGTTGGGCTTAAGTGATGAACTGTTTAAGTTGTTTTCTTGCAGAAACATCAATCTCGAATAGGCTAGATTTAACTATGCTCCATCAAATCAAGTTCAACTTTTAAAAACCAAGATAGCACTATTCTTTCAGAGGCTTAAGTTAAACATAAAAATTGCATTTCATTAAGATTTTTATGAAATGAATAAGCGCTTCAAAATACTCAGAATGTTCCCTCTCCTTGTGCCTGAATTTTGTTATAAATACGCAGAACAACCAGCATGTATAATGGAAACATGTCTGCTCAGTTTTATCGAGAAATATTCGAGTTTCAGACCATAATCTGAATATCTGACTAACTGACTGATAGACTGTGGAGTTCTCCAAACGTGCAGATATGTGGGGCTTTGTGTTTATTCGTTTATTGTTGTTTTCATTAAGTTAATACAAAACAATAAATTATGTTTACATTGTGGTCGAATGTAAGTGTGTGTGGCTGTGTGTGTGTGTGTTTGCGTCAGTGTGTTTGTGCGAATAATGAGTAATGGCCCACGATATTTACACATGAGTTATCTTTCTGGCATTGCCCACTCACAGCTGTAGGCAACAAGCGCCCTTTGGTCTACTTGAGTGTTTCTCCCTGCCCAACCAAGAATGGCACAGCAGCAGCGGAGCTGGGATGAAGGCGCCGTTGGTGGCCACAGTCATGGGGCACATTCGCAGGCCTCCGGCCATAAGCAGCCGACGCGAGCGACAAGCAATCCATTGCCCTACAAGGGCGTTGCTCCCAAGTCTGGCAGGTAAATGAAATTTGCGAAACGCAGATAGAGAGGCCGTCTCACTTAAACTATCCACCATCTATCCTCTACTAACAGAGGCTACCCAGTACCGCCCTCATTCTACGCCACCTCTACGCAGGGCGCGGTTACGTCGCGTCATATCAGCTACGGCTACGAGCCTCCGCGCAGTCCCAAAATTACCACCACCTATGCCAACGATAGCTGCGATGAACCATCGGGCTCGACCTCAACTCCCTCCTCATACTATGAGACGCCCACCTCGGGCTCCATGGATGACTCGCCTGCCAGCTCGCTGTTGGGAAGCGGCCGAAGTCCCAAATCCACGTGCAAGTTCGTTTTCGATGCTATTAGCCCCACCATGGATTATGGACAGAGTAAAAAGTTTGAGTACTATGAGCCCATTTCACCTGATGATGGCAGCGCTTACTACGAGCCGCCCAGCTCACCGCGTCGTCAGAATTCCAGGAAGCTGATGCGGACGGCCCCAGTGGAACAGATTCCCCAATCAAGCATAAATGTGATGGGGCAGGGCGGTCACAGTGGTAAACGGCGACGGGATGAGTGGGAGCTGCCGGTGATCACTCAAATCGATGTTCGCTGCTTAAATGTGACAGCAGCGGCTGCAGCTGCAGCTGGTGGTGCCAGTGGCGGGGGCGGTGGCTCCAGTGGCTCTAATTCTAGTTACTATGCTGTTAAGCGTGACTCCTGCATCACGGAATATACCCAGTTGTCGATGGAGTCAGGCACCACCAATAATACGGCCCGTACTAATAGCACAATGGTCACCACAACCACATCCTTTAGCTACACGGACACATCACGCACAGATGGCGAGGTGGCAACCAAATCCTGTGGCGGCCAACAAGCGCAACGCCAACGCCGGCATGCCATCAATATAACCTCCAATCCGGGCTACCAGGTGCTCCACAGCTCACACTCCACGCTGGATCGCACATGCTCGGACAGCGTGGTGTCACTGCGGTATCGCAAATCGACCAGCGATCTGACGCAGGAAGCGGATAACGAGCTGAGCGGCAGTAAGCCTAAGAAGCGGGATGTGACGGAATATAAGCCACGTAGACGCGGTAGTTCAAAGGGCGGTCTAGCCTATCTGGCCAGTCGGCGAAGCTCGCGCGAGTCCATGAAGAGTGCCTGCTCCAATGCCTCGATAATCTCCAATGATGACATTGGCCCGTTAGCCTTTCAGAGCTCCAATCGCGGACGTCAGCGACGCACCTCAAACTTTCTGGAACTACCAGGTGGGTAAAAGGCCAAGATAAAACAAACGTCAACTCACTTATTTTTATGGAGCCCCTCTTTGCCTTTGGCTCGAATATTCTAAATCAAAAGCTAAGGTCTTAAGTATTTATGGTTTTGTGGTTTGCTTTTAACTGCTAATAATTTTCTAGTGCCGGACCACATTCGTCCGCGTGTCTGCTCGTTACCCGAGCGTCCGTACAACCCACGGGCCAGCGATGATTTGTATCGCCTGCGTCACTTCTCGATTAGCAAAGGAAACGTTGTCAACTGTGGGGACTCGATTATATCGCGACGCTCGCGAAGTAATACCAGCGTCAATTCTACAAACAGTCGGGCCAGCGAACGGTCACCTTTTGAGGGCTCCTGCTGTGGTGCGGGTTATGCAAATGTTGACTCGTTGCCCGCTTCTCCGGACGAATCCGAGAACCTGGAACCGCCACCACCGCCGCGCTATCGCGTGGTCATGCTGGGCGATGCTGGCGTGGGCAAGACTGCGTTGGTCAACCAGTTTATGACTTCGGAGTACATGCACACCTATGATGCAAGCTTAGGTAAGTTATCTGGCACCCAAGCACCAAACCCTTCCACTCCTAGTGCGGGCCCTTGGCAACGCAGTAAGTATACTGTGTAACCCTTAGCTGGAACCTATGCGACCTATATCCATGCCGCTGGTTTCCACTGCTGTCTTTAGTGTTTAATTCTGATTTGAGTTTTAGACGATGAGTTTGGAGAGAAGACGGTCAGTGTGCTGCTGGACGATGAGGAGTCGGAGATGGTCTTCATCGATCATCCCAGCGTCGAGATGAGTGTGGAGAACTCTTTGTCCACCTATGAGCCACATGGCTGTGTCGTTGTCTTCTCGGTCGTTGACAAGGGCTCCTTTCGCGTGGCCGAAGAAATCGTCAACTATTTGTGGCAGGAGAATTATACCAAGGACAAGGCGGTCATATTGGTCGGCAACAAGGCGGATTTGGCGCGTGCCCGGCTTATCACATCACAGGGTAAGTGACTTTATTAGATGTCGTGGTGCCAGGCCGAAATCCTGGACTTAATTATGATGGCTTGATTTCATTTTCATTCGTTATGCCTTTTACTTCTGACCTTCGCATCGCTTTGTGGCCGCAGAGGGCAAAACATTGGCCGCCTCACGCGATGCCAAGTTTATTGAGACATCCAGCGGTATACAGCATAATGTCGATGAGCTGCTTGTTGGTATATTGAAGCAGGTAAATCGGATTCTTGCTTGTGGTTGTTGGTAATCGTTGTACGTTAAGGTGTGAATCGCACGCAACTCATTGATGCATGCGAATATTGTGGGGCAGGAAATAAGAGAAATGGATTTTGTTACGCGCCTTGGGGGCTGTGGCTATCAAGTTGTCAGCGAGATGTGGGCGCGACTTCCGTTAAAGCCGAAACCACTACGAAGCTTGCTTCTCCTAATTAATGAAAAATTACGTGGGTGTTGTGGTTGAGAGTGAATTAAATTGAAGCTGAACGGATGGGGCGCAGGAAGTGGGGGTAACTCAATATACTTTGATTAAAAATGCATTCAAATTGTAGAGAACTCAATTAAGAACCAATGCTTGTCTAGCTTGTGGGCAGAAGCACTTAAATTAAAGTCTGTGGTCAGGTGCAGCGTCCGTTAGTAGTTCAAAGGCTTAATTACTATAGTTTTAGTTTTACTGCGCAGCTAGAAAGGCACTTCTAGGCTTACCAGTTAGTTAAATGCTAAAAGTATAACTAAGTTATTAAGCACTTAGGTCTATTATGAAGACTTAAGCATATACGAGTACCCCTACGTCAACGACAGCTTCCAGCTACAATTTATTACTGAAAAGCTGTAGCATTTATGGCACTTCTGACAGTTATCTTTGTTTTTATTCTCCCAACAATCTCACCTTTTCCTCTCAGATGCGTTTGAAGGAAACACGAGAAAAGAAAGCTACCTTATCGAAGATGAAAACATCGCGAACTCATATATCTCTACATCTGGCAAAGGAAATTTTACAAAAAATCTGCCTCAGCGACATTTCAAAATCAAAGAGCTGTGAAAATCTGCATGTTCTCTAAGCATCCAAGGGCGCCAAAAAATGCAAAAAATAACTATAGTATAAAAAAGATGTGCATTGACAGAAAAGCTAAAACATATTTTGCTAGCGATATATACAGAAATACATTGATATATGAAATGCTTTTCTCTAAATATTAACATGCTATATACAGACATATATTCGTGTTGAATTGCTTAACGCCACCCACCATCCACACATACTTGTATATGTTTAAATGTGTTAACAATCATGTTTGTATGTACATGTATATGCCCAGCTTAAGAACCTGTTTGATGTCTTGTTTTCAACGCATTTTTATAAGTGTATACTAAAAGCCCTATATATAGTATAATTATGTCGCATGTATGTATGTACCTACAAATTTGCAAAATATGTGCGCGTTTTTAAAACGTTATAGCCAATTTAAGTGTGGAATTTATAAATATATATGTATACATGTACATGTTATCAGATATAGACAACGCACCGAATTGTTTGGTCGAGGCGCAGACGCAGACGAAATATTTTAAATGCCATAAAGATTAGCTAGAACAGTCGACGAGCGCCAACAGAAGCTGTGCGAACCTTTCAGAGCTTAGGTAACAGCCAAGCTGTGAATACGCAGGCCCTCAAACGCACACAAGCATACACACATACACACACTAAGACAGCTTTAGTCAAGGAAGAATCCTATTCTCAAAAAGAACAAAGTACTGATACCCTTGCCAAGCTCAGAAGTAAATCATTTTAGAGTTTTATGAGAGGGGTATATTTTTTTAACAGCAACAGTCGGCTCCAATACTTAATACTCGTAATAACACAACATAATTTAAAAGACAAAGAGGATTGGAGTTCGAGTGCTAATTCAATAGAAAAGAAACGTGTATCTTTTAAAACTAAAGAAGAGCGCGTAGCGTTGGTATTAATGTATCACTTCAATGTGCAAGGGTATTCAAATATTTAATATTGAATCACAATGACTTGTCTTTTCTGCGCTGCTCTTTCGCCGTAAACACAATTCACATTAAAGCCTGAGTGGTGCTTCGGGTCGCGCGTTTCCCGATTATTTTATTTTTTTATTTTAAACAAGTCATCATTATGTGTGCCTGTGGTCAGGCCTCCAATTATTTGGGTATGTATTTGTTTATAGTGGATGTTTTGATTAAAGTCCGACGATTTTTGGGCTTATCAAAATGAATGTCTGGCCTTAAGTAGACCTCTAGAAATCGGCTTGACAGTCACAAAACAATTGACACTAGCCGCACCTCCACTTAAATCTTGGATTATATGCCAAGGCCAGTTCCAGAGCCATGTCGATAAGAAGAGCGCGACGACCTAAAGTTGCGCGTGTCCCGCCTGCTAAAGAGATAGGTGTTCAGGTACATATAGTATATGCTCTCATACACGTTTGATATGTACTTGGGCTAAGCAGCGGTTTCATTAGGAGAAGGCTGATTGGCATTAAAAGTACTGGATATATGGAATAGGCATAGAAAATATATTTGGCATTTTTATCTTTCGCTGCTGAGTAGCTGCCGCCTGAAATGAATATTGCTAACTAATTATATAAATACATATTAATTTATATAAATATATATATCGTATATGTGTTCCTTATATTGTATTGTGAAACTACTTAAGACATTTTAAGTCAAAAAATGAGCTGTCAATTTATTTCTTTAATGAACAAAAACTGCGTAAAAAAACAACTGTAAAAACAAATACAACAAACAGTTAAAACAAGTATTAAAAATAAATAAAATATAATATACAGATGTGCTAAAATGAAAAAATATAAATTTGTATAGAGACTAGGATAAAAAATATAAATATTTATGTATGCGAACACTGCACAGTCTAGACACTATAAAGCTCTTCCTGTAATCTATTTTATAAAAGTGTTTGTTAATGAATTTCTTCCATTTGAAAACTCATATCGGAATGACGACTGTTTAATATTGACTGTTGTTAATTTAAGCAAATTAACTTGATCGAAGTTAAATATTAAAGATACATACTATTTCTAAATGTAATGCAAATATATATGCATATTAATGTGCTCTTTTAGATGAAATATTTATGCATGTGTGGAGGCAATGATCCGTAATCTCTTTCTTATTCATTTGAAAAGCCAATCAAAAACCGATTGGCGGAGTAAACTTGTGTCTCTACCTGAAGAGTAAGAAGAAACAAAACTCAACAACTATCATAACATTAAAACAAAACTTATACGCTTATATTACAAAACAAGATATGAATATATGTATACATATATACCAAGTAAGGAATGTGAATCTCTCTACATTTTAGAATGTATTAAACAAATAAGTATGTTGCATAAAATCAAACTATTTTCATATGAAGGCTTACGTAAGGGGCGATTGCTAACAAGGGATTTAATCAAATTCAACTCTATTTGCAAATCAAACGCTCACATCATTTACCATATGTTGTTTATTTTTTTCTTATTGCCATAACGAGCTTTTTTCATACCTTTTGTCAGACAATCATAAAACGCAGTAAAATTGATTTAACTATGTAAATCAAAAAGTTTATTTTGCTTAAACTTTTGTTTGCAAAATGGCGCATTTGCACAACTGAAACCAGCAATAAAAATAAAAACAAACGGAAAACGGAAACAACAACAAAAACAACTCAACTCAAAAGTTCGCCAACTAATATGGCGAATGTGTAATCCCTGGAGGTGAAGTTGACTACATTAAGTATACGCCCCAATGGGCCATGTTGACGGGGCTTTTAAACTATACGTTTTTCATTTTTTTCATTGCATTTCTATAAATATCTTTAAAGCGAAGTAACTAAATGCCCACCGAATTTATTGTACGTGTATATCCAAACAATGTAATGCATGTACAAAAATAATATTGTATAATGAAAGAATGCTTCAGATATCAGAAGGCATTTACACTGACTGGTCTTTTAATTTGTTGAACAGAATATTATATGATGACTTTTGTGAGGTCGGTGTAAATGAACTTTATTTATAACTATTAATATATTTTTCTGAAATATATAACTATATATTATCTAAATGTATGCATGTTTTATGAAAATATAACGAATCGATAGCAAATGAAATCAATTATTCAAACAGAATAAATCATAAGAGTAACAAAACCATAGATATGTATATTGTATGTATGTAGCTGGAAACTTCACACACATTAATAATGCTGATCATACAGAGCGAAATCTTGCCAAACAAAAAATAAGCAAACTCTTAAAGCAAAGCTAATCCAAAGCACAACAAAATCCGAGTGCATGAACCTTGTTGTTGGTGTGTCAAAAACATAATAAAAGGGCAAAACCACACAATTCGCTGTATTTGTTGTGAAAAACTAACCAGCCAGACGCTGTTTTCATTCGGTCGAATATAGGGGTGTGTGGGGATGCATGAGTTCAAGGCCCCGATGCGTGTGAAACGCGTACAAATTTTCAGCTGCCAGTGGCGTATTGGACCAGTAGATGGGAGAAATCATGTTTGATTCAGCTGTTGCGCACTTGTGGGTCATTAGCATGGTGGTGGTGCCAACAGCAGCAGCAGCAGCAACAGCAGCAACAACAACGACAGTTGAAGCAGTCTGTCGCTTTAAAAGCTCCACTGGGTGCCATTGCGACAAAAATGCGTTAAGTGCTTGTTGTCAATCAATGCCAAGTGGGTGTTGAATTGGGCGTAGGCCAACGACATTGTTGGATTTAACGCTTGACTGCAATCGCAAAAAGGCACGGAATTATCAGGCTGCCTGCCTGCCTGCCAGTCTAACTTTAAATGTCTTCTGGTATTTCTTTTTCACTTCTGCTGGGAAATCAATCAAGCGCAAAAGTTCAATAATTAACTTACGTGCTCACTTCGAACCGAGAGATAAAACTCTGTCTTGTCAATGGAACAGAGTGGCCGTTGATTGATTGATTGAATCCGGCTTTCAGCTTCCGGTTCTGGCCATCAACATGGTTACAAATCCGCTCATAACACTTAGCAACATCGCTTAATAACCGAAAAAGTTTCTGAGTGAAGCACTTCCTACGAATTAAAAAGCGAATAACTGAATAATGCTAACATATACAACGGCCGCAAGAAAGGTAAGTAATAGAGTGCCATAATTTTCTGAAATATGATCAGACAAGCAAATAATTTGCACATACATTGTCTTCTTCTTAACAACATGCTACTACATTTAATTATTTAATGATGTAAGTAATTCTTTTTTTCTGGAACAGCCTTATTGGCAATATTTAGTCTAACGTTCTTAAAATAAATTGTAGCACACTTTTTGGCTAATTCATTTGTATAAACAAGAGCCTCGATTTTTTTTACTTGCATCAAGATGATTTTATTGCTTCCAAGTTTGGGAAAGAATAGGGCATATTCTACCCGAACATCCTTTTGTATATCTTTCGTATTTATTTTGTTTGTTCCAAGCCGCCAGTCATTAATTCAATGAGCTCATTTTATTATAACTAAGCATGAGGCCCGCGCCTCCTTTCTTCCAGCTTTTCATGCGTCACTTACAGCCATTCGACAATTTTGAAAATTACGCTGCCATTTTTAAAATAAATAAATATTTTCTTATTTATTTTGCCTTATTTCGCTGTCATTTATAATTTTGTTCATTTTTCTTTTTAATTTGGGAAGAGAAGAAAACCAAACTAATTTAAAGTTCTACAAGTATGTAGCAACGAAAATATCAACACTAGAAATTGATATCATTGGGGGGATGAAAACCAAGTTGGCTTTATAATCATCATTACCGGCCCCCTCCCCACATCATCATCATAATCACCATCATCTTCGTGACCATCTACACTGCTATCGTCGTCAACAAAGCCAAAAGCATTACCCTGGCAACAACAAACACAAATATTTACACACTTTAAATAATTTATGAAAATGTAGCAGCGATATGGAAGGCACCAGAGGCATTGCATGGTGGCTTTGTGTGGCGTCATAAATGAAACTGGGGTATGAAGTTGGTGTTCATGAGGGAATCAAGAGACACAACGCCACGCGCAAATCGATTAAGAACTTAACAGGGATTAAGCAAGGATATAGCTACAAGCTTAATATACGCAATGTAATCAAGACGCAAAATGTAAAGCGAGAAATTGAAGGTAATTCACTTAAAAGTGTCACAGCATGACGCAGGCAGGTGCCTGGCGACTCCTGAAGAGCTGATCTTGG